AATCTATCGTATATGTATGATAATTGATCTTGTTCTCCCTCTTGCATAAAAGCTTTTCACTGTTACAAAAAAATAATTCATCACGAGATCAATAGTTTCTTTATCCCTGTCTCATGCATTATACAAGCACTTTGACAACGAATGGAGCATTAAAATAGCTGCCATTATATAGAGAGAAAAACAGACCCGTGATCCCCTCATTGGCATGCATATATATTAATATACTTTCACACGTACAAAGAACTGGATGGTTCTCATTTTCTCATCACCTTATAATTTCCCTGGGATATATAGATAAATTGTGGATATGAGGATATCATTATTTGTCCAAAGTAGGAACCCACACATAGAGGGCTGTCCTATTGTACCTACCCCACCAGACCCAAAAATTATGACCTTTTATCATCAAGACCATTCACTTCATTAGGAAAAGTAGGAAAAGTTGCAATTTACGATGTTTTGGATCTCAATTTTTTTTTTTTTTTAATTTAAGGTCTAGATGACTTTATCTAATTTTTTAGCAGCTCAAAACTAATATTTTTAAGCGATTTTAATATATTTAAAAAAATTAATTTTTTTAAGTATTACTTTTAATACTTAAAATTTAAACATGCCCTATAAAATAATATTTATTTAATTATTAATAAATATAATTCTTGAAATTTAGACGTCATATGGTAGATAAGAAGAAAAACGCATATATATTTTTTCTAACAGATACAATTTGAGAGTAGAAAATGAGAAATTATAATATGAAAGTATTATAATTCGAAGTAATGAATGCATCTACCAAATAGTCTATAAAATCTCGTGCGCATACTTTTTCTTCTGTTCTTTTGGTTACGAGAGAAAAGCATACTTAGAAGAGGGGTTTTAACTTTGAGGCATGAATTTGGTTTAGCCTGAACTGATCAGACCAAAGATACTGGAGCCAGAAAGGCATCCCGGTAATATGTGGGCCACAGCCGCCTACAAACTCAAAAGTAGATAGGCGGCCCCTTTATTCTTCAATTGGGCTGGACTCAAACAGATTAGTCTGGCCTAAATAAGACCACAAAATGTTGACCATTATATTTGATCTCTTTGGTAATGGATGGTCAAAATTCCCCTCTCTTGGACTATCAAAAAAATAAAAAAAAAAACGATTCTTCTCTTTTGCATTTTTTTTTCTCTTTTTGGTATCTGGGTGATTGAATAATGGCCTCTCCCTCTCAAACATCCATTCGTTTGCTTCAAAATTCATATTCGAAATCTCCAATGTAGAGATTTAAATAGTTGCATTCATTAGGTTTTCCTTTCTCACCCTTCTCTGTTTTTTTTGTGGTTAAATTTTCTGTTCTTCACTCTTTCTCCCATCTTCATCTTCATCCGATCATGATCGCCGGTTTTAACTCTTCTCTTTGGTTATCAACTTACATATAGACAAAACCCTACTTAAATCAACAATTATAAACTGTTATAGTATCTAATGAAAACCCACCTTCCCATAATCAAGGTTCAACATCAACTATACATTGTCATAACATGTACCATAGATTCAAAATAAGAATGTAAACAAGTGGATTATGAAGCTATATATGCTATAAAGAAAAAGGTCTTTGGAATTGAAGTATTAAACAATGGAGAGCTTTAGGATTAAACAATGACAGAGAATATATACGGTGGAGGTTGGACTTCTACGTTCTGTTTCTTCACCAAAACCCGCAGAAAAGAAATTGCATTTTGAAAGTAGGATATTGGCTTTTAGAGAAATTGCTTAATTTTAGGAAAAATTACCAAACCAAACAAGAGGAAAAATAATAATAAAACAAGAATGGTCTACATTAAGGAGGAAAAAGATTGTAATCCACTGACAAAAGTTTAGTTAGATTGACATCTACTAATTTAAAATTTTTTATTTGAGATCTAAGTCAAAAATTTTAATTTTTATAATATTAAATAGTTAACTCTTCAATGTATAAAAAAAAAAAAAGATTTGTAATCCTACAAACAAACTCTAAGCACGAATATTTTACAAAGAGATTGAGCGAAGCCCAATTGTGTACGTATATTTGTGGTAGCTACAATGGTAGCTTGGGCAACTTATTAGTGTCATATTCTATAATTACATTTCCTAGGGTCACTTCTGTCTCACATTTTAAAAAATGAAGCATTTTTTTCCCTCCCTAAGATTGTTAATTTCATTAATAACATAATTATACAACTTGCTTTTAGAAATTGAAAGGTTAAGGGCATGTTTGGATTAGTTTCTAGGAATTTCAGTTTTTGACATTATTTATATTTTATAAGTTTGAGTATTCCTCTTAAAAAATTACAATTTTTAACTTTTTTTTTAATCTTAAAAAGATTTTAAACAGTAAATTTCGAAAAACTTCAAATTTATGCTTTTTATAAATTTTTTTTTACTCACTTCTTATTCACTTTTTTTTTATTTTTAAAAATAACTTTTAAACTTTACCTCAAATAAAAAATTAAATTTATCATTCATAAATAATATAATAAAAATAAAAACTATTATAAATTAACCCAAACATGCGGTTAAATGTATTTGGGAAAACAAAAAAATAAGACACCTTGGCAAAAAAATTGCCATGACGTCCTTACTAAAACGGTGTGTTTCACTCAGCAACCCTTTTTCCCTTACTCTTTCCATAGAGTAAAGCCCCATGGCCTTCTTACTTTTTTCCTAGGACAACAATCACAATGTGTAGAAGAGCCCTAATCATGTTGAAGCTCATGGAGGTCATTAACAGCACATCCAAACACAAGCATGGACTAGCATGTGTGTCCATCATCGATGAACCACTGCATATAGAGCTGCCACCATTTCTTAGCCAAACAAAGTGCAACGAAATCAAAAGTAATTTCAAACCACCAAATATCCATATCGGGCTTATGCCTTTACTTGATATTTGCAGCATAAGTCAAGAAAACAATGCTCACTAATGGAAATCAAGTGGGTACCCAAGGGATCTGAGGAAAGAGAGAAATGTGAATGGAATCGAAGTGTAAGAATTAGGTGGGGGCTTTTGAAGGGGTTGGTGAACCTTGATCATATGCCAAATTCTCTAGCCCCTTTAAAAGCCCTAAAATGGAATCGAAATGTCTTTGGTTTCCAACTTTTGATGTTCAAAGCAGTTAATGGACTTGGAGGAAGATTTTATCAGACCCTTGGTTTTTGATTGAGTGAGGAGGAGAGGATTTTGGCAGTCCAAGCCTAAGCCTCGATTGGAAGATGAGAAAGGGATTTTTGTTCTGTGTGTTGTGTTGTGTTAAGATGAGAAGGGTTTATTGTTAAAAGAGACCGGAAAATGTGTTGCTCCAGTGAAACGCATCGTTTTAGTAATGATGTCGTGGCAATTTTTTTTAAAAGGAATCCTATATTTCCATTTCCCCAAAGTATTTTTTTGGTTGTGATTTTTAACCATGATAATTCATTACAATTTTTATAATATTCATATGATATCAAATTTATACATGTACATCGATTTATGCATTTCTCCCTAAACTAAGGGGCTAACACCCTAAAAGACAATAAATTGGAGGGAGGCTAGGGTTTAAGCCATTTAAAACATCATTAATTATTTATATTTCAAATTTATCTTTTAATAAATTTTGGTAGTAATAAAAAGACTCTAATTTTAAAAATTAATAAAATATTAAATAGGTAAACTTAATATTAAATATTTCTATAATCAAGATTATTAATTTAAATATGTTTCTTCATTTGTGCGAAAACCTCTAAATCAGTAAATAAATTGAAACAAAGGAGTAATGTGGTGGTTTGTATCGAGCAAAATAAAGAAGTACTTAGTTACTTATTATGTAATATTGAAAAGAAAATA